ATGCTATGAATGAATGTTGTGCTATGATTCTGTGCCTTGGATGTAACTGACTTAAGCTATGATTCTGTGCTTGTTTATGCAGGTCTGCTCTGCGGATTTGTTTGGTGGTGTGCTCTTGCACACGCCATTTCTGAGAGAGTTCGAGGAAAAACAAATGTTCTGTTTGCATCTCTTCCCTGGAACTAACCAACTTAGGAAGGTTAGCTACTCCACTGAACTAATCCATATCAATTCTTCTGCCTGCATCTCATGATACTTAAATTCCAATTCTTCCTTCATTTTGTTTGTCTCCTGATAGGCTTTTAGGAAGAAGGTGGTATTTTTAGTTGATATCAGTGGGAGCATGAAAGGAGATCCTCTTGAAAGCACAAAAAATGCAATAATGTCATCACTGTACAAGCTGAACCAGGAGGATTCTTTTAACATCATCGCTTTCAACAGGGAAATGTACTTATTCTCTCCCTTGATGGAACCTGCAACCAAAGAAACAATAGTCAAAGCTAACCAATGGATTAATGACAAGTTACTTGCAGAAGGGGGTACCAACATTTTACCTCCTCTTCAGCAGGTATGGCAAATGCTGCAAGTTTAAGGAGAGGCCTATGCAGTCTCCTTTTTCTTGTCCCCAAGTATTGTAAAGACAATGACTTTGTAATGCACCGTATTGTTCAGGCTATGAAGCTCTTGGCCGAAACAACCAATTCAATTCCTCTCATTTTCCTCGTCACTGATGGAACCGTTGATGATGAGAGAGAGATCTGCAATTTCGTCAAAGCTTCACTTGCTAGTGCATCAACTGGAACTTCCATTACTCCTCGCATATGTACATTTGGCGTAGGTAAGGGTTTTCTCTTCGGGGGATTAGAGTACCCATTTCCGGGTGCAAAATCGAGAACTATAAATCACATACCTACGATCAACACAATTATTAACTCTTTGTGAAAAAACATTTTCCACAGGTTCATTTTGTAATCATTACTTCTTGCAAATGCTGGCTCAAGTTGCCAAGGGCCATTTCGATTGTGCTTTCGATACAGGTCAGTCCAGATACTCGGATTCAATAAATATTTCATCTTTTGCTTGCTGCTATCGTCGTCTGGTTAATCCTAAATCTGGAATTGGGAACTTCCCATTTTTCTCATTGGCCAGATTCAGTTGATTCTCGGCTACAGAGACTATTCACGACTGCTTCATCTGTTCTCATAGCCAACATTAGCATAGACTTCCTGACACATCTTGATTCACTTGAGGTACATTGTTCCGTTTCACCAGAATCCTAATCCAACGAATCAGGAGCCATCCTACTTCCTGTTCTCCAATTCTCATTCACTAATGCTTCTGAGGAATTCAAAATGCAGTTGCTTCCATCTAGTATTCCAGACCTTACTACTGGAGCTCCACTGCTAGTCTCTGGGAGATACCATGGGACTTTCCCAGAGTCCGTCAAAGTTACAGGGACATGGGCAGATATGACTCATTTTACCATGGACGTGAAAGTGAAAAGAACGAAGGATCTGCCACTAGATAGAGTAATATTCCGTCTGAAGTTCAGATGCCAAGCATGCCAGCTCTCTTTTCTGAATTGTCAAAATTTGTTCTGAAGTCATTCAGATTCCTTGATTTTCTTGTAGGTACTTGCTAGAAGGCAGATCGACTTGCTCACTGCTACGGCATGGCTATCACAAAGTAAAGAACTTGAGGACAAGGTTTGCTTCTGAACTTTCAGATCATGCTCATCCATCCAAAGCCATTAATGTCTTTGTAAACAGATTTCCATTTCTCAGGTTGCCAAAATGAGCATACAGAAAGGGGTTCCATCTGAATACACCCGTATGATTCTGATTTACACTGACAAAGGAGAGAAACCACCAGAAACCCATCTAGTAATGGAGGTATGTATACATCACACCACAATCCAGCTCCCTAACATCCTTCCTTTCTAACTTCAAACTGTAAGTAATTTAAATATCAACTTGATCACCAAGCAAGCTTTAACATTTCACATCCTACAACTTCTTTTCCTGATCAAAACCAGGTATTCAGCAAACTGAACTCACTGAGGAGCCTGCAGCTGGGTTCCGAATCAGCAGAGAAGCAGAACATCTACCTAGGGAGCAGCTTAGGCATTGGTTTCGGCAACCTAGTCGCCACAGCTCGGAACATTCCTCCTGGAACCGAGGAGGGGAAGCAGCCAGACGCGGCGGCGAAGCTGGTGAATGCTGCTTCCAGCTGCTGTGGCGCGGTGGCCGATCGCGTTTGCTGCATGTGCTTCATCAGGGCTTGCTCGCACACCAGCAAACAGTGCTCCATCTTGGCGTCTCAGATCTGCGCCGCGCTGGCGTGCTTCGAGTGCATCAGCTTTTGCTATGAGCTTTGTGCTTGCGAGTGAAAAGTATCTGAGGACCTATTTATGTTCATAACTCGTAGGAGTATGCAGTGTATATCATCTTCCCAAGTTGGCCTAAAGCTGATAATATGGCCTTTGCATTAGCCATTTTAAATAATGTTTCATTCATTTCAATTTTTCTGGCGAGAGGTTCATAAGTAATAACGGGTCATCTTATCACTTTTCACTATTTATTCAACATATGAATATACATTCGATAACCTCATATTAAACTTTAAGAAAACACGGTAATCCGATGATTGATTATAGTTGGTATTTATATTTGAGTACACATCTCACTTAAATGTAAGGGTGCGTAATGGTTAGATCCATACCGGATCAAATCAAAGTTTGGACCAGATCACACCCAATCGAGTATAATGCGGTCCAGTCCTTGGTTCACATGCATATTACAATCACTCACGAAATGATGGACCGAAATGATATTTGGACCGAACCGAATCAAATGGACTGAATGCAATGATGATTCGGCCCTTGGTTCTCTTGAGTTTGGTTCGGTCCGAACTGATTCCACGATTACCAATCACCATATAAACAAAAAGCGATTAGCAGGTCGCATCTTCTAGCTTCTCTGAGTGCATCTGCTGCTGACAAAGAGATCAAGAGAGAAAAAGGAGACATATATTAGAGATTCAGCGATTGACAAATTGAGAACAATCAAAACCCAAAAGAACACCATAATATACCAGCAACGGAATAAAAGAGATTCTCGTATAAACAGCAATATCCGCTGAGGAGCTCGACAGTTTGAGTTCCTAGCTCTGTGCGAGCAAGCAACAGAGCAGAGATAAGAGAATGAGGTTGTATCGCACAAAAAAAACTGCTCACTTAGCGTTAATAACTGATCTGCTCGACAGAAAACAAAGAAGAGAAAGCAAGGAAGCTCACCTGGGGCCCTCTGTTTCGAGGCTTCCTGCCTTACTGTGCGATCCCCATCTCCGTATAGCTACTATTTCCGCCGCCCATCAATGAACTGGTTGTAGCAAAGTGATATCCATCCATCTCCAATTGCCATCGTGCGAAATCTATGCTGAGAAGTAATAAAATTAAACCCTTACTATGAACGAACCGGAAAAAAAAAAGACAACAAAAATCACGAACGACAAAGAGAATGAAGAAATCGGAATAGGAGGAGAGGGCCTTACTGAGATCGTGGCGGTGGGATTTTGTCAACCTCTCATCAGTCCCCTCAATTACCCTCCCGATCTTTACAGATAGATTCTTCAGGCCGCTGCTTCTTTCTTTTTTTTTTCCTTTCCACCCGAGCTTTCAGTATTGCTTCGTTCCCGAATCATCCTCTATTGCGAGCTTCTTGCTCACTCCAACTCCTCTGGTCTTCTTTCTCCTCCTTCTTTAGCCAGGAGACATCATAGGCAAAAACCATGCGAGAGAGTAGAACTGGGGAAGAGAAACCAGAGAATAGAATTAAGAAAGGATGCATCTAATCATAACATAAGATTGAGATGAAGCAAAACCATCAAGATCGAATTCTCACCTTCAGACGGCAGGGCAAGCAAGAGATACTCACAATTCTCTGGTTCTCCCTCTCTTGCGGAATACCCAAAGGCGAGTTTTCCCTCAGCCAGAAAAGAAAAACCCCAAAGAGAGAAAGTGAGAAGTCGATTAGGGAGTTGAACAGGAATCAGAGAAGAACGACCAGAGCAAAGAGATCTCACCATTCTCCGATTTTCCCTCTATCGCGGAAACCGCCGGCTGGCGCTCATCAGTGTTGAGGGCTGATGATCTCAGCATGCTCTGGCTTGAGAATCGGCCCCACACCATCTTCGGATCTCTGCTTCGTCGGAGATGGATCCTCACAACCAGCGGGTGATCGACGATTCCCTGGGCGCTGACAATTACCTCGCCTTCGAGATGAGAGAGAGACCATCTCTGAATCTTCTCTTCGTCGGTGAAGGACGCTCAAAATCACGGGTTATCGGCGATTCCCTGGCGTCTCGCAACTACCTCGGCTCCGAGAGAGAGAGAGAGAGAGAGAGAGAGAGAGAGAGAGAGAGAGAGAGATGAGGTGAGACTGTATTGCTGTTGAGAGAGAAATGAAAAACGTATGAGTATATGCAAGGTCGAGTCACCATCCTCAGTCTCGCTCCGCTTCATTGGCCACCGCGCCTGTAACTTTCTTGCGAAGGATACACTCCTCCCAAACAGCAACCTTATCTCCTCACAGTGATTGTGAAGTTCCCAAAAATTCTCGGGCAGAGGGAATCACATGCCATTTGAAGGAGGGAAGGATCAAGAGAGAAAAAGTGAATATGAATGGGGATTTGAGGGCAACGCGGCACTCACAGAAACAACGATGGGACCTAGACACAGGTAACCAACCAATAAGAAAAGGCGGTCGGGACCTAATCGCAGAGCATGAACCAATCGGAGGAGAGTGAACAGTAATTTTGAATCTAAATGAATAGTAATTTCGTGTCTAGGCGAACAGTGCACCGTGTCTTTGCAAATAACTTTTTCCAATATCTGTTTCAATTCTCAAATTCAAATTTAAGCGGCACTCGAGTTATTTTACTAATTACAGTGATCAAATTTGCAATTTACCCGATACATTTACTTCCAACTTCCGAGCTGAAGCTAGCAAACCAATATCCAGCCAGGCCAAGTGCTGCTTCCGATAGGTCTTTAATTCTCCACTCATCGGCCGATTGCCCAATTTCCACAATGCATTAATTCCCCCAGAAAACCCTAATCCCCCAATTCTATCCATCCCTCAAAGATTCCCGCTTTTCTGACTCCGTGGGCGACGCCTCCACTCTCCCTCTGCCCATCTACTTCTTTCGGCTCGATTGGATCTGGGTCCGTCTCGTTTTTACTGACACCCCGCTCAGTTCCTTTGATCCGTCGGAGAAGGAAAGTTCGAGTCTTTTCGCCTTCGTCCTTGGGCCTCTCTTGATCCCTGCAACTTATTATTTTTCCAATTTAGGGTTGCAATCTGAATTTACTGGGGTTCAGAGGGTTTGGTTGGCGACTTGGGGCAGCTCTGTGTTTGACTTCTCTTTTACTGGGGTTCGTGGCTTTTGTTTGGTGTTCTCTTTGCACTCCGTTGATTTGCTCTGCTAAATTATTCTGATTGGAGAAGCAGGGCGGGAGGTTTTGGGTGGGAATAAAAAGGCGGGGGGATTGGGAGCAGCCAATGCTATATATTCTGGATTGGCATTCAGATAATTTTTCGGTGTGTTCTTTTGCTGTGCCGAAAAGTTTGAAGCTTTAGCTTTACCAATGTCGTTGGCAGGGGAAGATATCTACCTCTCGACTTCTCTCGCCAGTTATCTTGATAGTAAGCTCGCTCTCCACACTAGAGTTTAAGTTTACTTCTGTTTCATGAAATGGAGACTCGTTTTTTCCTGCTTCAATATTGTCTTTTGGTGTCTTTGTTTCTGTTGCATGATCTGATTGTTATTCTGTTACCCTTGAAGTGACATATGAATGCTTGTAATTGGTCAAGATATTGAGTCAGTTGATTATGTTAAAAACCGTTATCTTATCTTGAAGAATCAATGACCATCGTTTGTCTATTCCATAGGGAATTCAGGTTTTCTAAGTGTTCTGTCTAGTCTCTAGTTGTTTCCAGTCTAAGATTGGCTTGTTTATGGTTTCAGAAAAGCTTCTCGTGCTCCTGCGAGATGGCCGGAAACTTATGGGAATACTTCGCTCTTTCGATCAATTCGGTAGGTTCTTTCTCTTCCCGGGACTGATACCGTTTAAACAAAAGACCTCTTTTGTGAGTTCCTCACGAGTTGAATGGTCATATCTGCAGCAAATGCTGTTCTTGAGGGTGCATGCGAAAGAGTAATTGTTGGGGAACTTTACTGTGACATTCCATTAGGTCTCTATGTAATTCGAGGCGAGAATGTTGTTTTAATTGGAGAATTGGTATATTCCCTAATTTTGATCTTCGCTCGGCTACTTCCATTTGTTGTGCACCTTTTCTTATGATTTTCATGCTTACATTAGGATTTGGAAAGGGAGGAGCTTCCTCCGCAAATGACTTGTGTTTCAGCCGCAGAAATTAGGAGGGTGAGTCTTTGTTCCTCTTTTCTCTCTATCTAATTGTTTCTATATGCGTAGACTTGGTGATGTAAATAGGGGCTTGCTTGAGACTTGGTGAATAGGTGAAATCTAAATGGCGTCTCCTATGCTGTACAGCATCACCATGTTAGGCTTAGACTTATTTCTGGACTTTTCTCATTCACGTCGGAACAATTTAGATAACAGGAAACCAGAGTAAGGGGGTGTAGCTTTATTATCATGATCAGAGAACTATATACGAGCTATCCCATGCATGTACTGATGCCATTTGTTGTTGGAAAAAGAGTTCTGCTAATGTGGTAATTTAGAATTTGACTCCATTGAAATCTTACCTGAGCGGTTGAGCTTACCAAAGACATGTGTGATGGTGTTACGTAAGTGGTTGTTTGAGACCTTAGAGAGCATCATCTAGTTTGAGTGTTACTCAAATCATCCTGAACTTAAACAGCCACATATTAAAGTTGCGGTTTCCATAAATGTCTGGCAGGCGCAGAAAGCAGAAAGGGAAGCATCGGATTTGAAGGGCACAATGCGAAAGAGAATGGAGTTTCTCGATCTGGATTAGCAGCAGGGAGCAGTTAGAATGAAAGGTGGCTCGTAAAACATAAGTCTGAGAACCAGCTAATATGGTCTGCACGTATTTTATAGCGGTCCATGGGTGGTTTTGAATGTAGGTGTGGTGGTCGTATTTGTTAGATCGGTCTTTTTCTACTCTGCTCTGCTCTGCTCTGCTCTTCTTTTTGTCTTATCATCTTAAGGGAGTTTCGATTGTAACATTTGTTCAGAACCTTTGTATCCACAAATTTGACCCCAAGTGTTTTCTTCTTCTCCTTTCGGTTTCATGCAGCTTCCTTCTCTTCCCATTTTGTTGGAGCATAAAACAACTCTGGGGCCCTTTTCCAAATAATCTGCAGGTGAATGTTGGGGAGATGGGCGTTACCATTTGTAAGCTATGCTTTGCTGTGTGTAATTGTTGGGCCTTTCTAAAAGTCGGGCTAGCTCCGAGTGAAAAGTGAACCAAAGTCGCTTTTCTAAACACAACAAAAGATATAAAGACGGCCTGACTAGACTTGTGGTAGTTGGTGCTTTCCCCCTCTTAGAAATGGTAGTTCATTATTTCTTGAGAATCCACCTCAGCTAGTATCCTTCTGTTCATTCTTAATCTACTGTCAAATTGATTGAATCTCTTCATAAATACTAAACTATTTATTGTATGTGAAGGTCACCCTGCCTTCTCTTACTTACGGTTAGGGCGGTTAATGAACCGAGTCGAGTTTTGCCTTGTTCATGTTTGGCTTGTTTATAAACGAACCGAGTAGAGTCGAATACGAGCCGCTTATTTATTAAATCTTGACACATCATTAAGATCGAAGGTTCAGCTCGAGCTCAACTCTAAGATAATTTATAATATAAATACCCTAATATTTGTAATATAAATACCCTAATATTTATATGTCATATGTGATACATGTGATTACCTAATGTTATGTCATATATGAGACATATTTGCTTACATATACTCAATGTATTAAACACCATATGAGGTTATATATACAATTTAATAATTATATGCATCATTAACAAACCAACTCGTAAAATATAGATTGATTTTCTCGTTGTAGTCGAGTTGGCTCTCTAGTCACAATGTTGGGACATCTCATAAGCTCAAAACGAGACAGTTCATAAGTTGTTTTAACGAGCCACCTAATTGAGCTAGTTCACGAGTTTCACGAGCCGAACAAGGTAGAGCTCAAGCTCGGCTCATTTATTAACGAGCCAAACTTTTTTTTTAATCGAACGAGCTTTTATCGAATTCGAGACCGAACAGCTCACAAATAGCTCAACTCATTAACAACCCTACTTGTGATCGATGACCGTTGACAGCCAGCCATAATTAGAACCGACAACCTTTTTTGTCTTATTATTTCCCAGATCCTGAAACACTCACAGTAATCCATTCATTCTTCATTGAAAGTCAATAAATCCAACGGTTCCCATCACTCCCTAACTTCGATCAAAATGACGATGCACTAGGTACTCAGTACCAACAGTAATGAATCTAATTTCACTGAAATCGGAACCAGTAGTTAATTACTGTCCCTCACTTCTAAAGTCCACACCTTTCTTCTTCTTCTTCTTCTTCAGCTTGGGCATTTCCAACAAAGCAAGATCTAAACTGGGTCGGGTTAGATCCAGAAATTTGCTACCTTTCTTCGTTAGCAGAATGTTCAGGCTACTGCTCAGATCAATGTCAAGTTTGTTCCTTTTCAGTGCTCTGTTTTCTATCGCGGGATTGCTGGTTGAGGGTTCGGTCCACGAGTATAAGGGGGAGAAATTCGTGGGGAGAGGGAATGCCTTGGTCGTTCATGGCGGCAGCGAAGGAATTTATTTCTCCCGCCCTTCTTCCAATCTCACCGACATGGCCGCTAATGGAGATGCTTTCATTCGGTAATAACTCTCCCTCTCTTGTTTCCATTTGTGGTGTGGGGTCTCTTTGTTTAGTTGCAGAAATTCAAGTGAGAATTGAGGTAGAAAGATTCTATTGTGGGACTTGGCAGAAGTTTAGCAGGATTGACTGTTTCAGCTTGTGTTTTGTGGGCATGAGTTTGTTCGTATCAATGTGCAAGTTTCTGAATATCAAATTGTGAGTGCAGAATCCAGAATACAAGGTCATTGATGTTACATTACAGTCCAAGAATGCAATCTTAGGTTTTACAAGTAATAGGTTTGGACCTTTAGTTCTCTTCTAAATAGCCTAATGCCTTCCATTTCATCTGGAATAAGGTCTCACGTGCATCAATGGAGTTCTATGTCATCTGAGTTGTTATTATTTGTAGAATTACACAAATTATAGCTACAAGCATTAACAGACATAGTGCCTGCTATGCTTTTTTGTGGTTTTCCTTGCAAGCTAGGTGGTTGCGTTTTGATAGATTCATTGTTTTTCTTTGGCTCCACTTACCTAACTTGCATTGGTGGTGACCTATCACCAGCTTCGAAAAGGTCACATTCCGAAGACCCGAGGACTTGCACAACTTCACTTCAGGACTAGTCCAAGCTATCATATTCGAAGTAGAAGATAGAGAGCTGATCGGTGGCTCAGCCTACGGTGGCCAGAGAGCAATCTGCTGTACTCCCGATCTCGCCAAACTTGATGCCTGCACTCAAGGCGAGATCATCCATCGGCCGTCAACAACAAATCCAGGCTTCCCCTATGTACTCACCACCTCTTTCAGTCTTGACAAAGACATGGCGATACTGCCATCGAGGTCGATCGAGATCACCAAAACTGGCATGTACAACTTATACTTCATGATCTGCGACCCAAATCTTAAAGACGTGGTAGTAGAAGAAGGGAAAACTATATGGAAGAACCCTACAGGATACCTCCCTGGAAGGATGGCCCCACTGATGAACTTCTATGCATTCATGTCTATTGCATTTGTCATACTCGGGATCTTTTGGTTCTCACAGTACGCCCGGTTTTGGAAGGAAGTTTTCCCATTGCAGAACTGCATTACTCTGGTGATTACCTTGGGGATGTTTGAGATGGCATTGTGGTACTTTGACTATGCGGAGTTCAACGAGACTGGGGTTCGGCCGACTGGGACTACTGTGTGGGCGGTTACATTTGGCACTGTGAAGCGCACAGTGGCACGTCTGGTGATACTGATTGTATCGATGGGATATGGGGTGGTGAGGCCGACGTTGGGAGGGCTCACTTCGAAGGTGCTAATGCTAGGAGGGACGTTTTTCTTGACTTCGGAAGTGCTTGAGTTGGTGGAGAATGTTGGTGCTGTGAGTGACATTTCGGGCAAGGCAATACTGTTCTTGGTTCTCCCTGTGGCACTCTTGGATGCTTTCTTCATCCTCTGGGTATTCAAGTCGCTTTCTGCCACGTTGAATAAACTTCAGGTAGCCTGACTATAATGTCAATTGATTCATGCTTGCATAAAGGGTTATTAAACTTTGGGGTCACTTACAAATCATTCATTGAACTTCGATTTTCAAGGGACTTGTTGTTGAAGTATGGAATGAACATATTGCTTTCTTCGCCCTCTTGATATTTGCTTTCTCCTACTACTTATGAATATATGTGCAGGCAAGAAGAATGATGGTCAAGCTGGACATATACCGGAAATTCACAAACGCTTTGGCAGTAGCAGTTGTTGTTTCAGTTGGTTGGATTTGCTACGAGGTAATCGTTCTTGCTTGATTACAGTCTAAAGATGTAGGCAAATTCAGTGTACAGACCGTTTGTCGTTATTATATCATGTGAAATGGAGTGTCCGAGTATATATTGCTGCTTACTCGATTAGTTTGCTGCTTGCAGTTGTACTTCAAATCACGTGATGTTTACAATGAGCATTGGCAGAATGCATGGGTCATCCCGGCTTTCTGGCAATTCCTCTCCTTCTCTCTCCTCTGTGTCATCTGTGCTCTTTGGGCTCCCTCACAAAACTCAATGCGGTAAGTCATTTCTCATCAAAAACTACCACTGGACATCCTAGAGTTCGATGAGCATGTGCAGTTGCCAGCACTGCGAATGAATATTAACCAGAGAAAGAATCTGCACTGAGACAATTAGATCACCTGGCTCGTTATGCAATCAAACCTAATCCAAAGTAGCTTTACCATAGCTTTCTCCTTTCGTCGTGCATCAGGTATTCTTACTCCGACGACACCAACGAAGAGTTTGACAAGGACGAGAGTTCCTTGAGACTCATCAAACCGGCTTCCTACCCCACAAAGGATGGTCTACATGCGCCCGAGTCCAGACCAGTCACGAATAGCAATGGAGCAACCGATGTCGACACAGGAGAAGAGAAGACGGCGTGACAGAAGGGTAGTACGATCGCACATGGTAATGTTTGAACATTGGACTATCGTTAAGCTTAACTTGAGGATGTATGCCTTTTGTTTCTTTTGTAATAGTGAGAGATTGAGGTGTATTGTTACCCTTCTTACCTCTTAGTTTCTTGTATAAATTTCTTACTTTTCCTTGTTTATTTGGCTCCTGATGTTCCCCTCGATGTATTTTGCCACACATAGGTTGTTATATAGGGAGTTTTGCTGAGAAGGTGGCTTTTTGCTGCTGCTGCTGCTGCTGTTCTTATTTTAATTTGTGAGACCCCATTTATAAATTTGTAGAAACCTTCTCCTCTAGTTTGCAATGTCTCTTTCCATTACCAAACCCTTTTGGTAGGTTCTGAAGACAGGGACATTGAATTGTTTTGCCTTTTTCAGAACATGTTTTGGTAACTGAATTAACTGCAAGGCATTGGCCAGGGCATCTGTATCAGCTCTTTTGTGAAAATAGCTACAACATTCAGTAGGCCACCAATAATGGCTGTTTTTTAAGAGAGAAAGAAGAACATAGTTAATGAGGGAGTGATAGCTCTTTGGACTAGCAAGGAGCAACCTTATTTGAAGTGGTTTATGTGGTTCGATCCAAATACGAAACAAAAAAAAGGGGTTGTACGCCTCTGTTTATGAGATAGATAATACGAAATTTATTTTTGATAAAAATCCGTTTATGATAAAGGGGTTTTGGGATAGAGTCGGAGGTACCAATTGTATCATACGAAGACAAGTGGCGAAATTCTAATACCTCAGAGTGATAGATTACTTAGAAGTAGAGGAAGAAAGCACAGGAAGTAAGCAAGAAGATGGAAGGATCAAAGTTGAGACAACTCCCTTTTTAGCAATGATGTCAGAACCGAATCGGAGTATGACCCGGTAATGTGAACGGCTCGCACTTTAGTGGTTTAACCGGCATTAGATCGTTTACAAACCGTTAGAGAACAGGTACCTAATAAACGTTATCAGTATAAATAGTAGACATTTCTTAATCAGAGCTCGTCTCTTTCTTTCGAAATTGTGAAATGGAAATAACGATTCAGTTTGAGAGCCCGACGTTTTTGGTTTATTTCAATTTCCAATTTTTTGCACTTTTTTTAATTAAATTTAACGGCTGAATGGCAAATACCGGACGAGCGGCTCGAGTGTTTAACCGCCTCGGCCGCTCGTCAACCGCTACATAAAACCGGAGCGGCTTTTAGACTGTTCCGAGCCGGTTTTGTGACTGGGTGGCAGTTTTACCAGTCGGGCCGAGCGGTTCGGCTCGGCTTTAATAACACAGCTTTTTAGCATGGTCTATTTTGGTGGGTTGATTTTGAGTCATACTTCTTTTCCCATTCTTTTGGAAGAAGAAAACCAAGATAGACTTGTTTTCTCTAGATAACAATCCATTTACGAAGGTGGCCATATTTGAATCAAAGAATTATGAAGATGGATGAGATGTGATAACCGGATTAGTTTTGATTTAGTTATTCTTTCCGAAGTCATTGTTTTAAATTGATCCTATACCATTTCAATAAGATAAAATTATTTATTTGTTCACACGTTTAAGTCCCACTACACAATACACATGTCATATCTCGCCGATATAATCGTCAAAAGGTAACGTAGTTGGAGAAACTGAGGCAAATTAATGATGAGGCAACATTAACAAATAATTAGGGCACATGGTGTAACTTCTTAGTTCTTAGATGTCCCTCCAAGCTGAAGCATAATAAGGGAATCTCAATCCATGATTAATAATACAAACCAATCAATCAATTTTGTGACAGCCTAAGCCCGAGTTGGCCCCAATTTAATAATCTGTCTGAAATTCGATGTGATGATCACAACTCACAAGGCAACAGAATGAGAGGAGCAGCATGATTATCAAATTAATGGCTTCCCCTCCTGCTCTAGCTAGCTGTGACCACCACAACTTGGGAGATTATCCCCCTCTTCCCAACTTTCAATTCAACCAAACCAAGGCATCTTCTTATTCTTCTTCTTCATCTCTTCTTGATTATCCTCCAAGGCATCTTCTTCTTCTTCAACCAGACACGTTTTGGTGCTTTCAATCGGCCTCTTGACTACCTAGCACCAGTTTCAAGTCGAGGTTTCTCAATCAAAGACACTCAAACTTCGACTTCACCATCGACGTGCACCGTCGCTTGAGCCATGAATCACAAGATCACATATGTAACTAAACTGACAACCCATAACCCTAGAACAAGTCAATGTGGTGAGCTCGCACATCCTTCTGAAATCATAAGTTTGGCAGTTCAATTTGGAAAAAGTCTGTCTTTCTTTTCCTGGAATGGAAACCCCATGACGCACGTTTGGCAAAATTCGGTTATGTTCTTATCAACTTCTACAACTAGACAAAAGATCCAAAACCCAAATCCATCTTTTTTCCAAACTAAAATGCAGCAGGCATGTTCATTTCAACATCATCCAAGCCAGCAGTAAGAGATTCATTTGCAGCAGAAAGAATTGCAGAAGAATGGAAACTGGGTTTCTTCATCGTATCAGGAAAAAGGGGAAAAGAAGGGCCAAGTAGTAGTAGTAAGAGCAGATCACACGTTTACAACAGTTCCCCCATATGAACAAATGACAACCAAATTGGAAAAACGAAAAAATCTAGACTTGTGATCATATGACAGAAGTTAAGAAAACAAACAATGCATTTGCTTACAGTGCAGAAGCATTCAGGTTGAGAGAACCGAGCTCGCTTCTTCTCCATCGTTCCACTATCGAACATCAGATGTTCGATCCTCTTTCCATCGGTAGCACATTGCAGCAAAAGCAGCAGCAGCAAACCGATCCTCTCAACCCTGAACACTCCCACACAGAAAAGAATTCAAAGAATGGTGTCCTAAAGCTTTGTTTCACCTCTAAGTCGGGTCCAAAAACTCTTCCTTCTTTCTTCACTGAGACCTCTTCCTCGAGTGCTGCGAAGCAGGGCAGCCCTCAAAGAAATCCAACACCGCACTTTCCAAATCCTCAACCGAGTACTTGATATAGTTCTCTGGATGTCTCCCGCTCTCAATGTGACTCCTGAATCTCCCCAAAAATGATCGATAAGCAGGGATCAGCTTCTCCGATATCGAAATCCTCAGCTCCTCTCGCAGCTGAGTATCGGGTATCAACCATGTTGCCTGAGTCCTATGAACCTCCTCAAACATGCCATTGAAGCTCTTGAACCTCTCCCTCAATGCACTCTTCGAAACACCAGACGAAAAGCTCCCACTCACATGCAAGCCTTCATCTCTCAAGCAGTACAAGACCCCAACCCAAGTCGCCCTCTGGTAATTCGTTGCTGATTGCCTAAGCTTCCCAGTTAGCTTCCTCAAGTAATAATCTCCAATCATCTCTCTCAACTCCATCGACCCTTTCACCTTCTGAACAATGTAGTGCACATTGTTCATCAGGAAGAGATGGGCTAATGATGCATCTTTGTAAAGCTTGGACTTCCCATCTAGGTTGAATTGGAGAATCACTATGATCCATATCAAGTGCAGGGCAAGTGGTGGCTTTGATTCTAGCTCGGCGAATTCCATGTCCGGGGTCGTGGGATCCCCGGAGTATCTCGAACCCGTGGAGGGTTTCGACATGATGAGCTCGAGCAATGTTTGCTTGTAATCGGAGATCAAGCTAATGTAGTTCATCACGTACCTCGTTAATGGATGAATTGTTCCTCCGGGGACCGGAATTTTGGAAGGCTCTCGGAGGACTGCGTTCTCGAACTCGGAGAGTATCCCTCTGGCTGCCTCGGCGAGTCGGGAGAGGATCTCGGCGGCTTGAACTCGAATCGAATCGGCCGACTTCGAGTCGAAAACGGATTCGATGTCCGGCATTAGGTCGACTAGAGCATCGTGAAGGTCGAGGATCTTGAACATTTTCTCCGGCGAGCGGCGGCTGATGCTGACTGCTTCGGCGAAATTGAAGAGCTGGACTGCGGGGCCTTTTACCGTTTCGACGAAGCAAGCTTCATCGACGGCAGCTGTCTCGATTCCGTCGAATATCTGCTCGCAGAGCTTCTTCTCACTGGCGAACAGGATTCTGACGCAGACTTTGGCGGCGCGAATCCACCGCCTGATCTTGCTCTCGAGAGAATCCCACTCGAGGCGCTGGATATCGCCGATGCTGAGTTTCTCGATCCCCAGGCGACGGAAGCTGGAATCGACGGCGGATTTGCGGACGCTGCCGTACACCTGGATGCACTCGCGGAGGTATCCGGCGGAGACCATCCGCTCAGCGATGCAGCGAAGGTCGGAAACCGCTTCCTCGGGGATCAGATCGAGCTCCTTGATGCTGCTCATCGATCGGTAGCTGCCGGAGCTGTTGCTGACGGAGGAGTCGGTGCGCGGGATTGGATCTGAGAGGTTGAGATCGGTCTCTTCGACGACTTGCGGGCCGCTGCCTCCGCTTCCGGAGAGGCGATCTTCTTCCGCCGATTCGCCAGCGGAGTTGGAGGATTCGGCGGCGGCGGCGGCGGGGTTATCGGTGAGGGCTTCTTCTTCGATTGGGGCGGTGTGGCTAATGAGGATGTTGCGGAACTCGTCCTCGAGTCGAGCCATGGCGATCTGGATGGCGGAGTTGACTTCATCTTGAACCTGGTCCTTACTGTCCTCTCCGTTTCCGCCGCCGTCGGCGGTTGGGTCGGCGGAAATGGAAGCGGAGGACATGGAGCGCTGGATTTCGTCGACCGCCAGCAGGTAGCGATCCACCTCATGACGGTCGCCGGTGAAGATCATCTTTTCACGAGCTTCTTCCGACGCTGACGAGTCCCACCGCAGAATGATCTTCTGGGCTTCTTCCAAATCGATGTTGTTGCTGCAACTCCAGGTCCCGCTCCCGCCGCCAGTCTCCTCCGGCGACGCCATGGACGGATTAGATACAAGCTTTGGAAAGAAAGAAGAAGAAGAAGAAAGCAACCTCCTTTCTGGACTGAATCGGTTTGATTCTTCGATGGGGAATCAAAGAATCAAACCCGTGAGCAAAAGGGGTTTGTTTACTTTGTGAAATCAATCAATGGAAGTCGGGGAGTTCTTCGGGCTTGGATTCAGGGAAATGATTGGGCGGCGGATAAAGGAGGAAGGGGAAATTTTTGTTTAGCAGCGAAATACTGACTGGTGAAAAATTGGAAGAGCTACGTAGAGGAAGAAGAAGAAAGAAAGAAAGAAGGAGATTGGGAAGAAGAAACAGAGAAAGGGAGGGGGGAAATTAAAAAATCAAAACAGAAATTATTATTTAGTTTTGTATATATTTGTTTGTTTTTGCGGGAATTTCGGGTGGCTCCGCAACTTTTCTTTTAAATTTATTTCGCTTTTATCTTTCTTTAATGCTACTTTTAGTCCCTATACTATACCAATTTAATAAAACAACCCTTTTACCATGAATTTTTTCTATTTATACATTATTTTAGTAAATGCCTCCACATTTTCTACTAGTTTCAATGGTAAAGATGTTTATGCAAAACTAGTTAGAGCAGGAATCAAACTAATACTTAACATGCTAGGTATGTAGAAAATTTAATCTCTATTCTCAATTTTACAAGGTATATCATTAAGTTCTGTGCAAGCATGTGTCGTCCCTATTAATAACGGATGCCAAACAAAACAATTTAACATATGGACTAGATAAACAGTTTAGTACTAGGTAGTGTATGTCAAAAACTCATTTTTGGTCCAGCTTTAAAAATCACATATATTCTTGTTATTGAATACACAACTTGAATTATCAAGTGCATTCTTGTCGGCAGAGCATCATCTTTTCAATCGGACTTTGATGAATAAATTAACATGTATGCTATACTATGTGGTGTACTTGTAACAACATACAATATCATCCCGACTATGTTAATTAAATGATGTATGCAATTTTCGAACCATTGTAACTTGAATTATTAATCTCGCCTGTCTTTTTATACGATCTATGCACATTGGCATGAGGAGGACTCATTTTTCATAATTCATAGCAATAGGACCTGCTTATTCAAAACGTATAATACAGTGACTGAAAACGGCTTTTGACTTCTTCTTCTTTTTTTTTTTTTTTTTTTTTTGTAAATCTCACTGTTTTCCCTGCCTATGAGATGGATGGTTTGGGATATTTGCTTGGAATTCCGATTCATGATTGAGAGAGGAGTTTGATTGGACGATGGGAAACTTTTGTTGGGAAAGAAAGAAGGAAAAGAAAGGGTGAGAAAGTGGGAGGAAACAAACAAGTGAAATGATATAAAGAAAGAAGTTTCAGTAGAGCATCATCTTTCAAATCCTGTAAAGGGAAATTGGCTGGAATTTTGGAACTTCGCCTCTTCCATTTCCTCATGATGATGGACACCCTTTCAATACGAGACAAGAAGCTTTGTAATGATATCTTATTAGTCAATTGGGTTTGCTATTTTGAGAAATCTAGTTAAGATGTTGGAATGAGGTATCAATTGTTATAAGAAATAAGAGATAAATCATAAAATAATGATAGAGCTCGTTTATATTTGTATCCTGTAAAATCATAATTAGATTACGTTCGACTTGACCACCTGGTCAAGATTCATTAGAAATCTCGCCCTCAAATCCAATCGACATGCTCATTATTTAATGTTGATTTTTTTGTTACGGTTTATAAAAATAAATCTCGGCCACCATTGCGAAGCTGGAATTCTGCTTGTCTTATCAGGCATTTATGGGCAATTTTATCAAACTCATTCTCTCTTTGTGCGAATTGGGTAAGGGAATATCAATTGGGCTATACGTCTATTTGGGATATTCCCACAAGTTTAAACTGCTCTTAGTCTTAGGCATGGAGAAAAGTTCTGAAAGCTAGGCAACTAGCTGAAGGACACTTTCATAGTAGGGTTGTTGGTGTATTCTGGGATGCTGATATTATGGAAATATACTCTGTAAAGAAGGTTTGGGAATTTGTTCGACCAAAATTTGATAAAGTTGCATGGTACACCCTAATTTGGGAGTCATATTGCACACCAAGAGACAAGGTTATTGTTTGGTTGACAGTTCTCCACCAGATAAATACCTTTGACAAGATCAAAGTATGGAAAACTTGTTATATCAAACTTGTTATATAAATTTGTTCTATTAATAACAAGGATCATCTATTCTTTGCATGTCCCTGCTCTGTGAGTGTACTACAAAGGTGTATGCAAATGCTTCAATTAACATGTCCATGTTTCACTAGCTATGAAGGATATCTGGATGGGTCAGTCAAGAAGTTTAAGGGTAAGACGGCAGTGGCTTTGGTGGGAAGGCTGATCTGGAATGTTGTTGTGAGTTTGGTATGGCGTGAACGGTGTTCAAGGCAAACCAAGCAGTGAGATGGTTCGTTCAGTTAGAAGGTTGATTGAACTAGCAAGAAGTGGCAATGTGGGTCTTCATTCTGATTGTAGCGCAAGGTGTTTTTGTAGATAACAGAGTAGTAGATTAGTGGTAGAAGTGCAGTGATAGATAGGAGTGTTCTGTTAGTCTCTGCTTTTTTTGCAGTCAATGTAAATTATCAAGAATGCTACCCCATCCAGTTTAATAGGGGTTGCATTGAGCTTTAATAATAATAAAAAATTGATATTGCCCATAAAAAAATATTACGATTTTCATTTTGTTCTTACTCAATATCATCCTTTTTTATGAATAAAGCGCTTATTCATAAAAATAAAAAATCTTTGTCACTATTATAATAATACTAAAAAAAGTTGGTTACGATTTATATCTACCTCGCCCAAAAAAATCACACGGATAACAAAAAAAAATTATACTAAAAGTAAAAAAAAAAACGAGTTAATTAAATAAAGATCATAAAATAAATCACTTGCCAACTAATCCACACAAATGCTATGTTTGATATTTACACAAGTAGTAGTCATGGTCTCATGGAATCATCATGAGCCGGTGGATTTAGGGCTGTCCATTTGGTTTTGGTTTTTTGATTTTAACCGAAACCAAACCAATTGGAAAGCTAATGGTTTCGGTTTTTCGGTTTTAAACCAATAAGCAACTTAATGGTTTTGGTTTGGTTAAAACCAAAAAACCAATAAAAACCATTAAGAAACCAATAAGAATAATATTATTTATCACAAATATTTTTTTTTGTTTCTTTTGAGCCAACCAATAATTTGTAATGGCTATTTACCATTATTATGACATTTATTCAATAAAAAAGGAGGGAAATGGGAATAAATATGAGTGTATGAGTACATGTTGGTTTTTTGGTTATTTAAACCAAAACCAAAACCATTAAAGTCCTTATTGGTTTTTGACAACCGAAAACCAATAAAAGCCTTAATGGTTTTGGTTTTGGTTTTTGAGGATTTGGTTTTTGGTTTTTCATACTTAATGGTTTGGTTAACCAAACCAAACCAAATTGACAGCCCTAGGTGGATTCCATCTGGGCCGAAACCCTTTTGTGTTTGAGCAAACAGAACCAAAGCTCAATATACGGTTGTCCAGCCCAAATGTGGTAGCCCAGATTCGTTCCTTCGAGATTGGTCATTTTAAAATGGGCAAATACAATATATTAGACATAACTATTAAGCAGCGGGGAATTATAGCCACAATTATCGAAATACAAATTATTAGCCAATCGTTAAGTTTTCGTTAACACTTCTGTTAGTAATGATGACTAAGCTTTTACGATGGTGAGCTGGCTCCCACGTGGCAGTCATCATATCATATTGTTAAAAATTTGAAAACAGTAACGGGCTGTTAGCCAAATCTTGACCCACAATAATAGTTATGGCTAATAATTTGTATTTCGATAGTTGTGACTATAATTCCCCGCTACTTAATAGTTATGGATAATATATTGTATTTACCCTTTTAAAATATACCAATATTTTTCAAGGCAAAATATGACAACTTGAATTCCTTTTATTTTGTAATTATGACCGAAGAAAATCCATAGTTGAGATCGTACGGAAAAGTACACGACAGACACCATATCTGATCGGGGACTCCAAACTAAAAAGCTCATTTTTCCACGACGCCACGACGACTACTTTAAGCTAGGAATGACAATGAGGATGTAGAGATGAGTATTTTGATATTCATATACGTTTTGTGACAAATTAAATTCAGATTGGGTAATTTATTATAGAAGACGAGTTGCGGGGGTTGACCTATATGGGTATGTACTTTCAAAAGAAAACATTAGCAACATTAACTTTTCATTAGAAAATCAAGAAATGACTGCTATATGACAAATGTAGTTAAATTATTCAAAAAATTAAAATTCTTGGTTTTTTTCTATAACTTTATTATAGGTATAATATGAGATCACAAAGTAATGTCATGATAATTTTAGTAAAATTACTATTTATACCTAATGGAAAACATATGTCAAGGTGTGGGCAATTACCCACATTGACATGGTATCAGAGCCTTATGTGATCGAAAGGTCTTGTGTTCGAATTCCGGTGACCCCATTTGTGAAGCACATGTATTCTCGTGTTCAGGACATGTGCAAACGAAAGCCCTTATGAGGTGATTGGTTTTCATTTGAGGGGGTGTGCTAGTGAATGATATATGATCCAAGATTGAACCTCTCTCAACAACTCAGAATCATTGGAATCTACTTGTTAGTTAGTAGTTACATAAACTAGCTTAATTAAGTCAACCAAATGATACCAACCCTGCAATAAGGCTGGCGGGTGTTCACGTGAGGGCAACCCCATCACCCGTAGGGGTGGAAATCAGTACGGTATCGGTATCCCAATACCAAATACCGAAATTCTGAATACCGAATTACACCCTAAAGTCAATCCCAATTCCAATCCCTAAATAATTTCGGTATCCCAATCCCTAAATATTTCGGTATCCCAATCGGTACTTCGGTATCCCAATCGGTATTATCGAATACGAAATTAATTACCTTTGTA